GAAGTTTCGGAGAGACTCACTGCCTCCATCAACAGGGCGAAAATTAATCCGCGAGCCGAAACGTCGGGGCCGTAAAGAAAGAGCTTGGACACGACAGAACCAATGGGAGGGGGAGCCAGTAAACTCTTCTGAAACGTCGGATCAATTCTTCTGTCACAAGTGTGGTCGCAGTTACAAGCTGCTCTCCTCTCTACTCCAGACGTCGGAACATTTCAATCGAATATTCTGGATCAATAACGGTCAAACACGCCCGAAGGTCACTTCGCAACGAACTTTAAAAGTTATTTGCGGACTGGAACACGGAATACGGCATCCCGTCATGACCTCACACAGCTGAAGTGCCCTCCCCTCAATTAAAAGGGTTTAGCTGACCGCAGACGGCCGCCAAATTTCATGCCCCCACGTAGACACTAAACACTTTTTCCGTAATTAGGACGCGCATTACCTCGGACGAGAATTCGACTGACCTACTTGCGAGGTTCTGGACTTGGTAAAATACGTGACAAGGACCACGAAGACACGGCAATTTAAATAAGGATCAGTGTCCTTGAAGACACGCCGAACAACTGGGAAGCTGCCGGTCCATTTATCTGGGTTTCCGAAAATACACCTTGCCTTTCAACGAAGGTTAACTACGGTGAACATAAAACCTCCTTCCCCAACAAACAAAGCGTGGCTTGATTGTGTGGATGTCATAAACCCCACTGACAGCTTCTTCGCTAAGATGGTTAAGAAATTATCCGCCATTTACGTAACCAGACAATTTTCACAACAGCCCGCCGTAAGTCCCCATACTAGAACAGCTGAATCCAGACGTATCCTTCTCAGATATATTTTTTAAAAAGTTATCTTTCAATTTAAAGCCACGTCTCCCAAATGGGTCTCCTCCCTTCAGATGTACAACTCAAAACATCCCTTGTTTTTTTACGGGACAGTCCCCTGGACAGAGACATAAAGAATAAACACTTCAACACGCGAGTCACAAGTTACGGATCAACGTATCACACGACAAAATATGGAGAAAGCAACATCTCGAGAAGTGCATGAACGTTTTTAATAATATACCGCCACATGTGAGGGTCATTCACATCGTACGCCAGATCCTTCTATTCTCTTATTACAGGTCAAAGCTTAGAACATTAATGAAACACTTCGCGGATAACAAATTTTATTTTATTATTTCTATTTACGATATGTAACTTGTTACAGCAAAAATATAATTCCCATATTTTGAGAAAACCAGACGGAAGGAAATACACAGTCAAAAACAAAATTCGGTTTGACGTGTCGGCAGCCTCGATCTAGCACAGTTCCCACGTGGATATTAAAAGGCTGACACAAACGCCTTCGAGGAGGCACGCCGACAAAAACACGTGACGAAGGCACAAATGCCCAAAGCTGTCAATAAATTGTGCTGAATCCGCTCTTACACGCAACTCGATCTTCGGATACTAAATTTCCCGCTACTAACCCTTTTAAATCCTGCGGTAACTATCTATACCACCTGCTCTGACACTGACAGCCCTAGATTTTAACCACTGGGCGAATATATAACGTCAGTTCCATGTCATTGTCAGCGTAAACAATTATTATTTCAGGAAACACCAGCACCGAATTGTGTTTTCTTTGAGGTAAGAACTGAATTTTTAAATATTATCTAAATTAACGCTGTTCTTTCGACGATTAACCTCTGGGGCATTACTCAACGCAAAAAGAAACTTTGGGCTTTACCGGCGACTCCAGACAGCGCATGACTTAAGCAAATGTGCACACGGAACGCGACAGCTATTTACTATAATTACAATTCCAAAAAGTGACGATATTTGCAGACATAATTACGCACCCATATTCAAAGCACGTAATTACATGACACGCTAGCAAATATGATAATTATTACAGACAGTAAGCAAGGTTTACTCGTTTAAGTACAAGATTAAAAACTTTGCACATTACGAAATAATTTTCGTTTCTTAATCCTGGGTACTTAAATGCAAGTCGGCCAACAAACACTAACACGTCGTGTTTGCATCTGAATTTCCTTGAAAAACACAGCACGTACGTAAATGAGGTTTTGGGGAGGGGGGGGGGCACTTCAGAAGCGCGGTTTCGTAATACAAGTTGTCAGAAGGAAGACAAATCATCTCAACTTTTATTACGCTCACTACTGTGCAGACTTATGTGTGGTTATTTAACGATGTTTGAACAGGTCACATTACAACTATGGCGTCGAATAGGCAGGGTGGATCGTGGCCTATTACAAAGCATTGCACCAACATCTGTCACGGGGACAGGAGTAGCACGAGAACGTCATTCAGGTCAGCCGAGATATGAAGCCGGGGACTCCAGGATGCGAAGCACGACTGATAACCACTCTGCCACGATGCTGATCTGTCAGGTCCAGTGGTTTTCGAACTTACCACATCCAGACAACGAAACATTTTTGACGGGGAAAAAACAGACCCAGATAAGCGAAATCACGAAATTGACGGAACCCCCCGGTGCAGTCTTTGAACTGCGTGAACCAATTTTTGCATTCCATTCGACACAATGCAACGCCTCTGGCAAATTGTTCAGAACCAGAAGTTGCGAAAAGAACGATGTTACGTCCGTCTGTCCGTGCGTCGGCGTACACAACTCCATGACGTCTCTTAGTGTGGAGTTCACCAACTCCCACCCCCGAGTCAAAAGTTGGTATTCACGAACTGAGAAACTAGAAACTACTTCAGAAGGAAGGAGTCGGAACTGCCGCTGGCTTCTTTTGCTTTGAACATTAGGGAGGCCGTCGTGTTCTGGCTCTGTCTGGAAACAAAATAAAGGCACAACGCAACACAATTTGTGCTCCTGAATGTTCCGCGCCATTCGCCCGGCGTAGAGGCCGGTTTGAATGAACTCAACTACAGACAGCAGAATCAGACGGTCGGTCACGTGACCGGTGACATAATGAGGTCATCAGAGTCTTTTTCTTCCTCGCTCGTAGCATAATCGCGCTTCCTCGTGTTTCACTACAATGGCTTTGATCACGCCGCCATTCTGACGGGGCTGAGCACTAACCACGCCCACAAATATGTGGGTCAGTCAGAGGCTACGCCAAAAAAGACAAAGAGTCTCCCCCCCCACACACACACGCATGTCACGTGCAACCCCGATACATGTACAAGCTACTTAAGTAATTCACCAGGGTAGCTGAGTGACCTGGGGTGGGATTTCTTCACATGCAAGGCCATCAGCGCTTTATATGCGCGCGCACGCACAAAAAAACCTCAGTCTACACACTAAAGACAACTCAATTAGTCAAAATGTAGCTTCAATTTTGCATGAGCCCTTCCTAAGACTCGAAATACGTCACGAAGATGCATTTCTGAAAACGCTGAACAAATTTACAGCGCCTACCGGTCACATGGATTTTGCCTTGTAAGGTTTCGCCTGCAGAGGCTGGCAAGTTTGGGGGAGAGTCACGTAAAACCTCGACGTCTGAGAGAATAATTCCATTAGTGTACATCACGGCCACCATCCACCTCAAGGCGCTGAGATTAGGGACGAAGTGGGTCATCCGACGAGACTGCTGAAATGCCGAAGACCGCGCGATCGAACCCCGACACGAACCGATCGTCTGTCTTTTTCCCGCTGTGTCTGCGAAGCGTTTTTACGCGATCCATCAGCAAAGGAAGTGGTCGCGGACTACTTTAAGATGACATCCCGGGCAGGGTGGCAGGCGACGAGAACAAACTCGTAAGAGAAATTCTGACTACTACTACGACGCGCCATTTGTCTTGTCGAGTCTAAGAGTGAACGCATGAAAATTATAAAATTGTTCCTTTCGGATGCTCGATTTCTTACGACTGAACCTGACAGTTAAATGTGTTACAGAAAGCCGTCGGACAATAAACGTTCACTGCTATTAATTTCAGAAATTCCAGCAGGGCCTGCATCAGGCTGAAGCGGTTTCGTGTGCCCGAGTGTGATGAACGCCGTCAGGCACTTCCACCTCCACCTTCTTCTCAACAAGAAAATATCACGCCCAGAGCCCGCAACACGACACGCCTTGAGTTGGCCTGCCTTAAACTGTCTCAAATGAATAACCGCTGATTTTGCCTAATTCATATCACACGTTTTGGGGCAAACTGTACCACAAAAAAGCAGGGCCCACCGTGTTCTTTAGCCAAAAGAATCTTGTGCCGCACCTGCTAATTTAACCTACAATAGAGAAGCCATTATTAAACGGTCTTACCCAGGCTTAAACTGGCCACATGAAACACATTACGTCACAAAACATTTGGATCAGAAGGTATTACAGGATTTCATACTGGAAATGCAAATTTACTTCGATTAAACGCGCGATCCTCACGCATTAATTGTGTAAATCCGACAAGCAGAGTCCTTGAGAAACGAACCTTTTAAGGGGCCACAAAGTGCTTATTACCTTGTCCACCAGGATCTCAATTATCGATTCCTTTCCCCTCGAGAGAGAGAGAGAGAGAGAGAGAGAGAGAGAGAGAGAGAGAGAGAGAGAGAGAGAGCAAGTAGCCACAAACGTTTCCCCACTGCCAGAATCCAAATACCGGCGGATACAAGCGGAGAAAAAAGTAATAATACGAGCTTCTTTGTCGGCATTTTAAAAATAAAACATTTTATTGGCGTGGAGTTCTCGGAAACTCTAACGAGCTGAAGTTTATGGCAACAGAAGTTCAGTTCGGGCCACTCAGAATGCAAACCAGGGGGTGGAGTGGGGTGGGGCAGTCAGAGAAATGTGGTCTGGATTCAGCTGGCTCAGGAACCATTTCCGGTCTCTTCTGAACATTGGTAATAAACGCTCGAGCTCTGTACGACACAGCGGAAATTCTTGTACTTCTGAGCGACTATCAGCTTCACTCAGCTAGCAAATGACGTACTTAGAAGTTTGGTAGAAAAAAAGAATATCGAACTGCAATTCTGAAGAAGGTCTGTGCGTGTGTCACCCCACGAGCGCCTGAAAGAGTGAGTCAGACATCGGGTGTACTCACCTTGCTGAGCTTCTCGCCCTCGTGATGTGGCAGCAGGATTCGTAGCGACTGGAAGCCCGCGTTGATGCTCTGCATTCGCCGTCGCTCATTCGAGTTGGCGATTTCGCGCCTGATGCGTTTTTCCTGCTCCATGTGGCTGCTCGGAGAAGCCGGCCGGTCGCTCAACCTGACACACACCAACACTATTAATGACGTCGATCCCGACCCTTCCAAGCAGAAGCTCGTCCAAATTATATTCAAGTATTCGGTCCGTACCGCGAAGAAAACACAACTCCTCCCCAACGTGAAAATCAGACCACTTCTTTTCGCCACCTGCAAAGACGATCATTTCTCAACTGCGCTCATGATTATGCACGACGGGATGGTTGTGGCCTGACGCGGAAGGACTGAGGAAAACCACCAAGGGAGCCAGAAAGGATAATCGGCCAGCTTGAGGGATCAGCGTTCTCCTTTTTTAAAGCCTTATTACGGGCAAGAAACAAACAAGATCATTGTAAATGTCTCATAGCGACTTAACAAATGTGCATGAAGGCGTATAGGGGAGTGGAGTTAAAATCCACAAATGGCCAGCTTCACGCTCCAGCCGCCACCCAAATCCCGCTGGACAGGATACCGGGTGGCTCTCTGCAGTGGCGTTATTTGTCCAGTTCTGCACACGCCGGCAGAGCGTGTTGCTTTACGAAACTTATGAATGGGAATGCACAGATCACAAGAGGCCAAGAGACCGCCTCGGACGTTGTCACTTCAATGGAATAAAACGCGTCCTGTCAGTGCGTCTACGAGCTACTTCCTCTCCTTTATTACACGGAGTTACCAGAAATAGGCTCTATGAATGGCGGCGAAACTTTCGCAGCTGCAAGACTTGCCTCTGAAGGTAAGAAATTAATTTGTGTCTGATGATGAGTTCGGCGAACGGGGAGGGCTGTGCGCCTTTTTTTCTAAAACACGACGGGAAGACGCCATTTTCCAGACTTACAGTAACGCACGTGAAAGAAATAGGGCGAAGAACGGGGTGGATTTCACTCAAATCTCCTGAATTAGTTTCCGAGATTACCATCGCGTGTGTGTGACAGGATTGGCCCAAGACAGATAACCCCCCCCCTCCCCGTAAATCGGGAGTGTTATGGAGATGCAAGACAGGCGGTAATAAAGAAATAAACATCCGTGCCTTGGTCGGGATTCGAACCAGCGTTCGCTGGGCCCAACACGACACATCAACTCCCACGTGCTTGTGACGCTCCTCTGAAAAATAAAGCCTTCACCACCAACCCCCTTGTCGATACGCGAAAGGGCACTCGTCGTCAGCTGATGATGACGAGTCTACGAGAAACGATGAGTCAAAGTCAAAGACAGCTGAGTGACATTTCGCGCACTGACACAGATCAGCTGATCGGCTCACTCCAGAGACGGGAAAAACTGAGGCTGTCGACACACGACCAGCAGCGGCGTCATGATAATATTACCCCAACGCACAGCCAAGTTCTGGTCGCCTGAAGGAGCTCAGACATGCAAAGAGGGCCAAAGCCGAGGCCGAGGTCCAGAAATCAAAATCAATAAAAGTTTCTCGACAGATTTTAAACTCGTAACCCTTCATATTTTTAATGGAACATCCGAGAGATATTCATTTCAAAACGTTTCTGTTTAATTTTTTGAATCATAAATTTAAGAATTTTTAGAATATTTTCCAATTTTAAGCATCTGCGAAAAAAACTTCGTCTTTTGTGGGGATGGGGAGTAAATCTTGCGTTTCAAATGTTCCACATTCTTTAGAGATGCGGTCTAATTTAGTAAATAAAATTCTTGTGGAACTATTTTGAGCACATTCTGCGCATTTCGAACTTTCCCACTGTTCATTCCCTTTGATTTGTTAAGAAGATCTCTCACGCACACCGCAGAGCACGTCAGAATCCATGGACGGATTTTCAAGACACCTGATACACAGACATAAAACAAACACTGCCGGTTGTTATTCTGCATCGGCATTGCATTTTACAGCGAAATATTACCGAAACCGAGGAGCCTCCTTCCAAATCCCTGCCCCGCTACGAGCATTAACCTCGTTGGCGATCAGCTGATATCAAGGCGTCTCATCAAACGGTGGAATGACCTTGAGTGCTTGAATAATCCTGGGCGATGAACGCACACGAGGGCATGATGCACGGGTTGCATAACGCACGGCTACACGAAATTCAGACTCAGTTCTGCAAAGTGTGCTATTTCAAGAACTCATATATAAACAAACACACAACGCCCAAGTCCTGCAAGGTTCGGTCCAGCGACATCTTCCGACGGCAAAACCTCAGAACGAAATTCAAATCCTTTTGGTCTAAGGAACTGGCCTGTAAGAAATTACGGAAACACGGACACCCCCCCCCCCAAAAAAAAGGCAAAC